ACTACAACGCAACAAAGAAGAAAGAAGATGTTGGAGAAGAGTGGAAGAGGCGGAGAGGAAGATGAAAGAGCATCCTCTATCCAAGCTTACCTGAGGGAACGAACGAACACGCAGGTTGGTGGACTGGGACCATTAACAACAGGAAAAGGAGACCAGTGGGCAGAAAGACTCAAGGTATGGGGGATAGAAGTCTACGACCACATGTCGAAGGAAGCCTTTTAAAACTAGTGTCGCCGAAGACAACTCATGCGATGAAGGAACTCAAGCACCCATTTGAGCCAAGGGAACCTGCGGCAGTGGAACCAAGGATGATGTGTGAATATGCATCAAATTACTTCATAGATATTCTAACATCGCGCACGCCTGAGGAGGGAGCAGACACAGACCTGTCCCGGGACACGGATCACTGGGTAAACACAAAGTATAGGCTACCTATCCACGCGAAGCTAGACTTAGACAAACTGATCACGCAAGAGACACTGTAGGCGTTAAGAGCAATGACAAACAGGAAAACACCAGGCAATGATGGTCTCCCGGCGGAGTTCCACCGAAAGCACTGGAATGTGTTTAGCAAAGACCTAGTGGGGATGTGTAACGAGATACTCACCGGGGGGAGACTCCCGACCAGCACATGTAAAGGCATCATTTTCATTCTGTTCAAGAAAGGAGGCATGAATGAGATGAGAAACTGGCGTCATATCTTGTTGTTAAATATATCCTATAAGATTCTGGGCAAAGTGTTGGCCAAAAGACTTGGAAGATACTTACCGACGCAAGTGCAAAATGACTAGGCGGCCTTCGTCAGAGGCATATCAATTTTTGAGTACATAGCAACAACGATCGAGGTACTGGAGGTGGTTGGGAAGGAAGACCTTGATATGGCGACGTACGACCGGATCAATTGGTTGTATGTTTTGACCACCTTGCGATGGATAGGATTTGGTGACGTCATCTACCCTGGGTGATCGCACTGTACTCCTTATTTACAGCATCGATGATGTAAACGGACATTTGTCGAAGCCATTTGCATTGGATTGTTCCCTTAGACAAGGATGCCCTTTGGCACCACTGATATCTGCGGTTCATCTCGTGGTGCCACTAAACAATATCTGGGCCCATGCAGATATTCAAGGACTCCCACTTGACAACTCGACGTGCACGGTGAAAGCACTTGCAAACGATCTTTTGCTGTCTTTCCAGAACACGAAGGAATCAACTGGGGCTCTCCATTATTGCCTCAGACAATATGAGCAACTCTTCGAAGCCGCCATTGATTGGTTGAAGTCATCCTTCTTTCTTCCAAGCACACTCGAGCCAGCAGTGGAATGGGGTATGAAACGATTGAAAGGACCGGACTCAGAGAGTTTCTTAGGAGTTCATATCTCCCTGCTACCGAGCGGAACCCAACATGACCAAATCATTCATACTACAGCTATAGCGCCCAGCGCCATACTCTGCCCCACACTCTCCCTCACCCACTATGTTGCCGCGCCGACCCACAAGACTGCAGCAACGTCTCCTCATTGCCAGTGCGTGCACAGCAGCTGTGTCCAGGCCCAAGTGCTGCTGAACTTTTGTAGTTGTTGTTACCCCTTCTGGACTTCTGCTGGTTATGGGTTGGTTCCCTCGTTGGTGTGCCCTGTTTACTCTCCCTCACTCACTGTGTAGCCACTGCAAGACCCAAGACGACAGCAGTGCACACTGTTGATGGTTGGGGTTAGGAGAGCAGTGGCTGAGGGCTTCTGATTTGGTATGCCTGGGACAGGGATGGTGGGTTCGGTCGGAGTGGAAAAAGGCGCGGAACCAGCTTTCATTAGCAGTTATCTTGCCCCTGGCACAGGGCGAAGAGGTTTCCCCTTTCATGAAGCCTGCTCAGTCAATCCTCTGGAGTCCAGAGTAATCAATGCTGCCAGGCATTTCTCAGATACTCTCCTGGCATTATCTGTATCATTCTGTATACAGGACGCTGGACCCGCTTTCCACCAGGTGATGCTCCCCACCAATAGATGGAGCCTCCCCCCGGTGTTACCGGTAGATGGAGCCTCCCCCACGGTGCTACCGGTAGATGGAGCATCCCCCCCGGTGCTACCGGTAGGTGGAGCCTTCCCCCCGGTGCTACCGGTAGTCATGTCTGTTCTTACCACCGGGTGTGGTTAAAAATTAAAAAAAAAAAAAAAAAAAAAAGAAGCAGTGCTTCCGCATTAGGTGCACAGTACCTGTGTCCAAGCCAAGCGCAACTGGACTTATGTAGTTGCTGTTCCCCCTTCTGAACTTCTTCTGCTTATGGTTTGGTTCCCTTGCCGCTGCCTGCTGTTTCCAGAAGTTCACGTATTTCCCTCGGTTATGGTTTGGTTCCCTTTCCGCTTGACAGGACTGGTGGACACTTGGCCAAACATCTGCTGCAAGGTGGTGTGCCTACCGGAAAAGAGACTTTTGAACCCATAACATCTGCTGCAAGGTGGTGTACCCACCAGAAAACAGACTTTTTTGAACCCATAACCACTGTCTACCAGGGGCATTCCACCACCACCTACGTAATGCACCAATTCATCCGGCCTCGTCGACGAGATCCAGCCCTGGGTCGAACCGGCAGTGCTTTGGTGTGAGACTGCTGGTAGCCGCACTAGAAAACAATCTCTCTTTTCTTTTTTCTTTTTTTTTCCTTTTTTTTTCTTTTTTTTTATCGTCGAATGACGTGGTGGTGTTTTTTTTTTTTTTTTTTTTTTATCGAATATCGAATGACGTGGTGTAGGGGAGGTGCTGATAAGAGCAGACACCCCTCTACTATCCCCGCTCGTTGGATGGCTCCGTTCCATTGGTGGGGAGCTGCACCTGCTGGAAAATGGGTCCAGCGTCCCTTTACATCATAACAAGGAGCCAGGTGATGTGTTATACATGCGCTATCATGTCAAGTTATATATGATGAGCAGCCTAGCTAAAGTTACAGAAAGTAAAGTTAAAAAAAGGACAAGAACTTCCAGAAGAGTAAAAAAACTATGTAGCATACCGTTAAAAAAAGGACAAGAGACCGCCCATCAGGAGATTTCGGCGCTCCGCTAGGTTTTGCGCTAACACCAGTAGACCGCTCTGGAAACGGAGGGTTCGCTGGTGCTGAGCACAGCACATGGCGGTTCGCTGATGCGACGCTTCGTCTTCGGTAGTTCCGAGGCCAAAGCACCGCACACCTTCACACATCGGCGGCGTACCGTGGTGAGTGGTCCCCGTGGAATATCGGGGGCCGATGAAGGTCAACTCTCCGGTACGTTACCTCGTTGGCATAGAACCGAATGGTGGAAACTTCTAACGAGCTGGTGGGAACAGTCAGTGAACCGACGGGAGGGTTGACTTCGACGAGACGACGACCGAGTGGAAGACGTCTGAACGCGCAGCGCAGGGGCGATTCTCCCCCTCCCGCAGGTATTGTGAAGCCTCTCACCCGGGGTCGGGAATTGAAACCAGACTTTGCCAGGTTCATGGATGCCTAGGTATAGGTTATTAGGTGTTACACTTGCAGGACCAATTGAGTAGAAGCGGGATAGTAGGGTAGAATGGCTTCGTCTTCTCCTTCCTAGTCCATAACGGACGAAGAAAAGGAGTGTGTCAAGGGCTTTTTTTTTTTTTTTTTT